GGTCCATGGGCATGGCGTGCCACACTCCGTGTCAGGTGTCACACTGCGTACAAAGGGAGGGTGTAGAGGCGGTGTAGTAGAGGGGTGTTCAGCTAGCGTGGTCCGTGGAGGTGAACTTTGTGCCTGGCGCGGCGTGTTGACTGGAAACAGCACGCAGGTGCCCCGGTGCAGAATCGCTCAGGACGTGAGCCAATCCGCGCCGCCGTTGGGCTGGCCGTCCCTCGCAAGCGAGGCGGCCGAGAGTGGGCCGACCGCGGCGATGCCAGCCGCGCCAGGCACAAAGTTGAGGACGACGACTGAGGCCGCCGCAGCGAAGATGGCGGGCACGTAGAGCGCGCCGCCGACCGCATTGCCGATGGCGGCGGTCGTCCAGACGAGGATGGCGGTGGTCAGGCCGAGTATTTCCTCCCTCCCCGAGGCCGTCTTGCCCAGACGGTTGCGAGTGAATCCTAGTGAAACTAGCGTTCACAGTCGTCGTGTCTGGAATGTCGGATCCGCCGAAATTCAATGTCCGGCGTCTTCCGGCCGCGGCGTTGTCTTCTCTCTGGCGCTCTGGCACTCTCGCTGCTAGTCGGTGCGATCCCACCGACAACCTTGCAGCACATGTCGGTGCTTCCATCGCCTCCGTCGCCATCGCCACCCACCGCGCTCCAGCCGGGGGAGATCGGTATCACCGCCCGCCTCTGGACCGGTGGCGATGCCGTGTGGTGGAGCAACTTCGGCACCACCTACTCCACGCATCACGCTGCCCCGGGCGACGTGCTCGTCTTCGTGTACTCGTCGGCGCGAGCGAGACCGCATACGATGCGTGCGACCCCACGGGCTCAGTCACGCTCGCCGGGCCAACCGACACCGTGTACCGACACAATGTGACGCAAGCTGATGCCGACGCCGGTACCGTCTACTTCACCTGCAGCGGCGACCGCAGGTCGTCGACCTGGTCTCCGAACTACTGGGGTACCCACTGCAGAAATGGCCAGAAAGTCAAAGTGGTCGTTTCGGCGCCGCCGTCGCCGTCTCCGCCGCCAGGCCTCCCACCTGGCCCGCCGGCACCGCCTCTGTCGCCGCCACCACCTTCGCCACCCCCGTCGCCGGTAACCACAATCTCACCGTCGCAGCCACCCGCGCCAGCTCTCTCATCGCCGCAGCCCCTCACGCCAGTTCACTTGCTCGGCGGCGGCACTAGCGGCGACACTGCTTCACGCGAACATTTCTTCGTCCTGGCTGTTTGCCTTGGAGTCCTTGTCCTGGCAATACGTGCCTTGCGCACCAGCCAGCACAAGCAGGCCACCAAGTGCGCCCCTGAGCAGGGCAAGCCAGTCGATCTCAAGGATACCATCCGCGGCTAGGTACATCCGCGGAAACCTCGTAGAGAGGCATCACCTTCCACTTGATGCCACGGAGCCGCGCCTGCTGCCGGACGAGGACAGCCCCGAGGACGAGATGGCCATCCGCCTCTCGCACGTGCCGCCTCGCGTCCGCTGCGGCATCTGAGGGAGAGGGCAGGGCACAGGGCTTGGAGGATGGTACGGCTTGGAGGATGGTACGGGAATCAGCTCAGGGGCATCGATGCACAGGCCATCCCGGAAGGGGTCGCTGGGTGGCAAAGTGCGCGCAGGATAGTGAGTTGAATATGAATAAGAGGGTGTGTGTGCGTGTGTGCTTATCATGATAATGAATAGTAAAAAAAATCAACCCTTTCAACTTGAATCGGGCCTATTCATCCCCAGCCCTGGTGACAGACTGAGACTTTACATTCACGAGACCCAGCACCCACGCGCTTTCGAGCTCTACTTTACCGTTTTTAGGTAAATATTCGGCTGTGTGCAGCTCTCCCGTCGACGCGCGCTCCGAGCGGACGCGTTCTCCATCGCTCTGCTTGCTCATGCTCTGGGCGCACTTCTCCCCCGTTGCGTTGTCTGTTATTTTTCGTATTCTCTCTGTTAGTGTTTAGTCAAGAGGCCCGTTCTCCCATCCCTACCTCCGCACACAAAGGCGGAAAATTTCAGGCCTGTCGGGGGCGCGGGCAGCAGCAGAGGCCTCGGAGCATCTCTGTGCAGCCTAGCAGCAGTGCGGCCAATCTCGACGATCGCCAAACAACCATTCCTCTAGCAGCCTTGGGATTCCTCGACGGATTCCTAGCACTGGGTCGCCCTGGGGCGTATCCATGGCGAGTGGGCCTCACTCATCGCGATCGCTGGCGCTGGCTGGTCGGGAGGTAGCGGGTGAAGCGGTCGTTCTGGTCGACCGAGCAGATGAAGGCGGTGAGCACCTTGTACCACACGTCCGCCACCTCTCTGTCCTCGATGAGCAGGCAGAGCGGCGCGCACTCCTCCTCGTCCTTTGGCCACAAGATGAGCCGCCCGTCGCCGGCGGCTTTCGGCGGCGGGTCGAGGAACGTGACGGCCCGCCCCAGTGGGCCCGGGGATCCTCCCGCCGCCGGCGGCCTTGGGCGGCGCGCCGGCGCCCCCGCCCGCGGCAGCAGGCGGAACTGCGTCACGTCCGCCTCGAGGATGGGCGGCTCGCGCAGCACGTAATTGTCTTGAGACCCAAAGGCGTACAGCCGGCCGTGCGTGCCCTCGCAGTGCAGGACGAACCACCACCGCTGCGTGAGCGGCAGCGCTGCGCTCCCCGCCCGGTCGGCGCGCAGCTTCTCCACGGCGGCCCGCGAGGCGGTGAGCGCGCTCACCTAGGACGGGGGAGGGGGAGGAGAGGCACTGTCACGCACAGCTGCGAGTTCGCTCACGACTAGACTGCTACTACCCTGGTAGCGCACTCTCCAAAGGGCAGCGTAATGAGCAAGCAGTTAATGAGCAATGAAACGAGTGATGATCGTTTCAACACGAAGTTCACCTCGAGGTGGAGCGGCTTGCTGGCCCCTTGCACCTCGCGCGGCGCCTCCGCCTTAAGAGCGCCGCCGCTGAGGCGGTAGAGGCACTCGCACGGGTCCTGCGACTCTTTCTCCACGCGGAGGGCCCTCCACGCGCCGCTCGTCTGCGGCGGCCGAGGGGCAGGTCGTATGTGAGCGCAAGGTCTCATAGCATATCGGCCGGTCCGGGATGCGGGGGGGGGGGGGGGGGCCTTTGCGTGGAACTCGTCGCGGAGGGCGATCGTGTTGACGATGGCATGGACGACGAGCAACGTGAAGGTGACGGTGATGACGAGGGCCGCCGAGCCGGGCTCGCGCAACCACGCCACGCAGCAGATGGCGCCCACGAGGGAGCCGAGGCAGATAACAAACATCTCGTCGACCTTGCGCACGTTGCGCTGCACAATCTCGTCCGAGGCGCGCACGTCCCTCATCGACGCGCCGGTGAGGGCCGCCTGGTTGGCGAGGATGATCAGCCTGGTGCAGAGAGTGGGGAGGCGTGTGTCGGAGAGCGGCACGCCGCGGAAATCTCTTTCTCTTGCGCTGGCACCGATTCGAATAGATCACGACCCATAGACCGGCGCCGCCCGAGAGGGTCGCGAAGAGCAGGTAGGTCAGCTTGAGGAGTTTGTCCAGGAAAATGGGCGTGCCGTCGCTGTTAGCGAAAACGACTTCATCCGACACCTCGGCAAGAACATCACCGCCGAGCCATGCGATTGAGATGCCAGCGATGAAAGCCGCCTGCGTGTTGAGGTTGTTCAGCCACTCTGTCCGCACGGTCATGTGCTGGAATCGGATCTCCATCAGCGCATGCTCTTGGTTTACGTCGAGCGCCTGCTGCTGAGCGCCGACAAAGCCAGCGCGCTCGATGTCGCGCTCGCGCGTGTCCACGTTTAGGTTAAACTTGCGCAGCAGGGTGTCCATCGGGCGGCGGTGCGCTGCGAGTTGTCGTGCGCCTCCGCAGCCCCTTCGAGGAGCTCCGCCTAAGCCGCCGCCCGCGCCCGAGGTAGGGGGGCAAAGCCGTCGAGAGCCGCAGCCCAGCGTGCCGCGATGAAGCCGTCGGGAGGTTACTGAAATTCGGCGCCCTCTTTCTTTATTATCCGAATTTTCTTTCTCCCAGATTCCTGCCGTTTTCTGCCCGACGGCCATCGCCTGGCACGCTCCTCCAGCGCCAGAAGAGATAGAGAGAGAGCAAGGGAAGAACAGAGGAGAAATATGCTTTCTCACGAGCGCGAGCGGCTTGGCAAGGAGCGCTACCTCGCCGACCTAGAGGCGCGCCGTCCATTGCAGGCAGAGCGCTGCCTCGCCGACCAATCCACAGCCGCCTTGCCGGCGCCCAGGTGAAGCGCGATCAGCTCACCTTCTACCTCGACCGTCTCGCCTCGATACAGATGCAGGCAACGCTGGTCACTGGCTTCGCCTTCGGCGTCCTCGGCCCAGATGTGATTGAGGCGCTCCCGTTCTTCGACGCGCCGGTCATCACCTACGTCTACAACATGTCCGCCACGATGAGCATGCTCTGCTCCACAGGCGCAGTCGTCATGTCTTCAATCCTGATGTGGGAGGTAAATCGGCTGAGCCTGTACGGGTCCGTCTCCGCCGCCGTCGTGGCCGCTAGGCGGCACGAGATCGCCGTGATCGGGATCTACCTCGGCTCGCTGGCGCTCCTGACGGTGTGCGTCTGCTTCGGCTTCCTCGCCACCTGCGAGGCCGGCCGGCGCCAGCGCGAAGGACGCGACGCTCACAGGGATCATCGAGCTTCTGGAATTAGGCGGTTGGCGTCGCCCACGGAGCCGGCTGCCACCGCGCCGGCTACTCGGTGATGCTGCTCGTCATCACGACGGTGGGCTTCTTCGGCTGGATGGCGCGGCGGATGCACCTCAAGTTCCGCGGGTACAGTCAGGGCCCGGCCGTTAAGGCGGCGCCCGTCCACCTCGACGTCGAGTCGGCAGGCATCGACACCGGCCTGCGACACAGCCTGCTCGCGCCCCTCTCACAGCACGCAAAGGTGAGCCAGATGTGATGCTGCTTGATGCTGGTGAGCGCCGCGCAGAGCGAGCGCCCCCAAAAGGTTTCTAGGGCTGTTAGAAGCAGCTGCCGGACGAGAGCTGCAGTAGCAGCGTCGTATACAGACCACAGAAAAAGGTAACAAAAGTCAAAACAAGCGACGGCCGAGATGCCACCGCATCGGCATACCGTAATTCATTGTGAGCTAGTAGATCGCCTCGGCCGCGTCGGCAGGCGCCGGTGTGGCCTCCTCCGGCAGAGCCCCAGGCGCGTTCTCGAGGAAGTAAGTGTACATCTCGCCCTTGCCTTTGTAGTAGCGTGGGCCGCGGCTCTTCGCGCCGAACCGGCCGCGCAGATACCGGTACGCCTCCTGCGACACGTGGACACGACCTGGCTCCGAGCCGGAGCACCTGTGCGGGGCATGAGATGGGCGTGTCGTGGGACGCGTCACGGACACGTCCCGGGGAGGCGGAGGGCGGGTCGGGTCACATGCGGGCGGCGGTGTTGACGGCGTCGCCGCACAAGTCGTACCTGTTCACACATAGAGGCAGCTGTGGAGAGAGGCTGTTCGCAGCTAGACCTGGCGTCGTCGGAGAGATCAGTACTGGTAGGTCTTGTGCCTATTCACAGCTACAGGCTGAAACGACGCTGTTCACACCGCAGACGCCGCATGTGCCCGATCGCATGTGCCCGATCACGCCCGCGATGGCGGAACCAAAGTCGATGCCCACCTGCAGACGTCAGAGGGAGCGCGGTCTTCCCACGAATCACAATGAGCAAAAAGGGATGTGGGGGAAGCCACCAACGCGATCTCAAGTATTTAATTTGGGTTCCCGGAGCTGGCTGCTGCTGGCTGCTGCTGGCTGCTGCTGGCTGCTGTTGGCTGCTGCTGGCTGCTGCTGGCGGCCGCTGGCTGCTGCTGGATGGCTGAGGCTGGCTGCTGCGTCTACCAGGGACGAAGGCTGGGCCATGTGCCCCCCTAGTACGGGAATCTTGGGTGCTCTCGGGTGCTCTCGGGTGCTCTCGGGTGCTCTCGGGTGCTCTCGGGTGCTCTCGGGTTCTCTCGGGCCACCTGCACGGTGAGCTGCGGCGCCCTCGGCGCCTCAGCACGCAGCTCGACGGTCATGACGTTGATTATCGCGAAGCCGAAGCCGGCCTGAGCTCCCGCACGGCGCAAGCAGCTGAGCCGGTCGCCCCCGGAGACTGTGTGTCTAGGCGGTGTCGGTGCGGCGGGGACGCGCGCCGCCGCCGCCGCGCGGTCGTGCGGGTCCGGGAGGCGGGTTGGGTCGGGCAGGCCGGCAGCGACCAAGTACTGCTCGTTGGCCGTCTTGCGCACCTGTGCGTAGGAATGCGCACTCGCTGAAGCTCTCCGCCAACTGCGCGCGCTGCGGCCGCGCCGGTCGATCGAAGCCGGCCCGCCTCGCGGAAGGCTGCACGGTGCCAAACTCGCCCCTGCTGATGCGCTCCACTCGCTCCGCCCGATCGGGAAGGTCCCCGCCACCGCCACCGCCGGAGCTGCAGCTGGCCTCGGCCCGCCCCGTGGCGGCGTACCTGTTCGCAAGGGTATGTGTGAAGAGACGCCATCCGCAAGCTACTTCGGCCCGTCCGGTGGCGGCGTTCCAGTCGGCGCTCGTCGAAATGGACCCCGCAGTGGCGCGCCAAGAAGCGGCGCACCTCGCCGTCGCTGGCTTCGAGCACGGGCGCCTCCGCCTCCTCCGCGTGCGGCGCGAAGAAGTGGCCGGACGTGGCTGCCCCCGCGGCGGAGCCGGCTTTCCCCCCGTGGGCCGACGCGGGGCGACCGCTGGCGTCGTGCCTAAGGACATGAAGGGTGACATGGTCACCGAAGCGAGTAGAGTGGTGGACGGCCAACGTCAGCGCGCGGGACCGGGAGCGATGTGTAGAGCTCTCAAAAGCTCTACAGCGCTCCAGAGCGCTCTACAGCTCTACAGCTCTAACAGTGCTCCACACTCTACACCCTCTACAGAGCGTCGCGGCGGCTCGAAGCACCCTGAGAGCGGCCGGGCGGCGGCTCGAAGCCGCCCACCCCTCACCAGCGAGCTCGCCTGCGCGCACGGCCGGAGGTGTGAAGAGGAGGCGCCATTCACACCCTGCGCATCCTCGCGAGCGGTCTGCACGGACCCAAACATCGGTGACGCGCCGCCGAGACGCTTCCGAGACAGTTCTGAGACTCGGTGGCGCGCTGCCGCGAGGGATGTCCGAGACTCTTCCGGCGGCGCTCCGAGGCCTGGACGCGCCGTCTTGCTGGCCGTGCATGGGGAGGTCCTCTGGAGCGGGGAGGCCCGGCAGAGAGACGCCCTAATGAGTCATGTGTCAAATCGCTCGCAGGGAATGAAAATCCCGGAAAGAGAGGGAGACCCGGGCAGAGACCGACAAGGCGCACGAAGGGCGAACGACGCCTCGGTAGACTGGCCGCCGCTCACACGTTCTCGCTCACGCACTTCTCAACAATCGATGCCTGCGAGAACATCGTCTCGAGGCCCTCCACGTAGGTCTTTGCGTAGTCCACAAACTCATCGATCGAAACGTCGGGGTCCTTCTGGAATGGCCTGAAGTAGGCCGTTCCTTCCAAGAAGCCGCCGCACAGTGCATCAAGCGGGTTGCCACCAACCCCCTTGGAACCGATGCTGCCAACGACACACTGCTGGTAGAAACGCGTCGTCTGATAGGCGTACGACTGGCAGAGCTGCCGTGTAGTAATGTGGAGCTGCAACGCCATGGACGAGATTTGGGTCCCGATCAACAACCGCTTCTCCTTTGAGCTCTGCTCGAAGCTGACCGAGTCGTCGCCGAACGCCTTGGTGATTTCCTCGTCAATCATTTTGTTCGCCTCCATCTGCGCGAGATCGATCAACGCCTACAGCAGAGGCGCCTAACTCACCTCTGGACGAAGAGTGCCCACACACGAAACTTGTGCCTGCTGCACACCAGGGTTTGGGCGACCTCCTTCCATTCCACCACGCAGCTTCCGTCGGTGCAAGCCTCCACTTGGGAAGCAACGTGCGGGACGACATCCGGGGTGATGACTTCGAGCGGCGGCGGCAGCGGCGGGGGCGACGGCGGCGGGCTCGGGTAGCCCTTCCATTCGCACTTGTAGTTGCTGGTGTAGATTGTTGTGGGCATGCACCCTTGGCTGTAGCACTGAGTTGTGTATGTGTCGCGGCGCGTTTGTGTGCATGCGTAGTTGGTGCAGCACGGCCCGTAGTCGGGCTCGTCCTTGCCAGAGGATTGCCCTTCCTTGCACCCTTGAATGTCTTTGTCAAAGTCTCCAAAAGAGCAGCCGCCGAAGATACTGACACTACAGGTCGCCGAATGGACCGGCGCGCCCGAGCCTTGGCACCGGTCCGGGCCGCCCCACTGCAGCTTGCGCCGCCTGTGCCAGCACGTCGCGCAGCATCCGGTTACGGCGTCTGCGTGATTACAGAGCCCATTCTCGGCGACGTCGTGGCAGCTCGCGATGCCGACAAGCCCGAGACTCTCAGCGTGCTGCGCGACGGCAGAATCGTCCACGTCCTGGCAGTTGCTTGGCTGCGAGGTTGTTTGGTCGATTGCGAACCCACCGACAGCGACAGCACTGACAGCGAGCAACCAGCGCAACATGCCTGCAGGAACCGGCAAACGAGGGAGTGAGCGTGACCTCGAGGAGGTCGTCGGGGTGAGGGGGTGCCAGAGGCACAAGGCTGAGGTCATGGCCGCGGGTGCCTTGTGCAGGCGTGAGCGTCGAATTGACGCGGCTGCAGGTGTGGGCTCGCGATCGTCAGAGAGGGCCGGGGAGAGCTCACGCCTGGGGCTGCCTGAGGCTGAGGCCGAGGCCCCTCGGCGAAGAAACACCCCGCGGCCGCTGTTTTTGAATTTGAGCGTTTTCGGGACTTTTTTTCGCGCGATTTTGATTTACTGTTTTCAAAGGAATTCGCCGTACTTGCGGCCATGCTATCACGCCTTGCGACAGCCTGTCGGCGCTGCTGACCGTGCCCTGCTGCACAATTGACCACCTGCATAGCTCGCGGCCTTAGTATCCACCATTCAGTGACGACCTGATCGTACGGCCAGTAGGAAGGTGTCCTTCCAGCTGCGTGCACGCTTCTGACGCAATGCGCGTCACAAACTGCCTCGGCGACTGGCTGCTGGCACTCTCGAGGCTATGCCTATACAGCCTCGCGCGCATGGGCAGTCAAGAGGGACCATGCACCTTCTCAGGACAGCGCCGGTGCCTCTCCCTTGGACCGGCAAACGTGGTGGTCTCGTGTCACCAATGTGGGACCAGTGCGCGGCATCGCGCCATCGACAACTCTGAACTGCGCCTCACCACTGACCGGGAAGGCCGCCAAGTGGGCCAGCACCGGTCACACATTGTGGCAGCAGTCAGCAGTTATCTGATAGCTAGCTAGAGCAGCAGCGTCAGGGTCGCAGGGTCGGATCATGTCAAGCCTCTCGCCCGGCCGGCAGCGTGCAGACGTCGGCCTGTCTGCTGTCTGGAGTGATCTGTCGGCGGTCAGTACGACCGATCAGGTCGGAGTTTTCTGATGGTTGGAGGGTCTGTCTGTATGTACTCCTCGAGATCTTTCCAAATCTGCCCTCTGATTAACCTAGCTTAATCGGGAAGTCGGTGCTAGTGGAGACTAGTGGAGCCGGGGCCCCGTTTCCGCACTGCGGCGCGGCGCACGGTGCCTCCGGGGGCCCCCGCCTCCCCCCAGAGGGATTTTAAGTAGAGGTGTGTGATGCGCTAGCCGTCGCCCACCCTAGCGAGTCTGCCTCTTCCTATCTCTCTTCGCAGTCTCTCGCCGCTTCTCGCTGCAACCTTCATGCCACCTCGCGGTCGTCCCACTCTCGTCGTTCTCTCCCTTGTCACTTCCTCCTCTGTCGCGTCGTTCTCTTCTGCCTCGTCCTGCGACGCCGCCGCCTGCCGGTCCCTTGTTCTCGCGGCTTCTTTCGCCTTTCGGCGCAACTCCGTCCTCCTCGCGGCGTATCGTGCCCAGTGTCGTGCGAGGGAGTTGGGTTGTAAAATTCTTCTCCTGTGTTAGTGCCAGTGCGCGCCAGTCCCGTGCCCAGTGTTGTGCGAGGCAGTGCTTTTCCAGCAGCTCGACCACCCGCTCGTGGCCTTGGCTGGCAGCGTGTATCAGCGCGGTGCCGCAGCAGCAACTCGACCACCCGCTCGTGGCCGTTGATGGCGGCGCCCATCAGCAGCGTGAGGCCGCTCACGCCGTCTCTCTCGTATGTCGCGTCGGCCCGCCCGCCGCCCTCAAGCCGCGCCAGCACCGCCTCCTCCTCGCCTCGCTCAGCCGCTAGCACGGCCGCATCAAAGCAGCTCGGGGAACCAGCACCACCATCGTTTTGGGTTCCGGCTTCTTTGGGGGAGGGGGACGCTGTTCCGCAACTTTCGAAGTTTGTGTCCCTACACCCGTAGAGCCGGAACCCAGCGTTCGTTGCGCACACCTCCCCTCGTGTGGAGTCGGCGTTGTCGTCGACCGAGGCTAAGGAGCGCGGCGCGGGCGGCGGCGCGGAGCCGGAGGCGGCCGGGCGCCGGGGGGAGAGTGAGCGTGCAGGGCGATTTTGCTTTTAAATAGAGCGGATACAAAAAAAGGGTTCTCTCACCCGCCGCAGAGACGTCCTCTCGGGGAACAGAGTAAAGACCCACGCGCAGCCTCCGCTCCCTCTCATGAGATGTGCTGGGTCGGAAGGGCGGCGGGGAGTCCGCGGGAGAGAGGCAACACACTCGCACGGGACAAAAGGCGTCGCGCGCCGGCTCAGGGCTTTATGCTGGCGCCGGTGAGCACCTTGTGACAGAGGACACGCAGCGCGTCTCGCGTGTCGGAAGGCGGGAGCAGGCCTGCGGCATCGCGATCTCCGCGTGAGGGTGCGAAGAGGGCGGCGCGCAGCGCACGCAGGACATCGCATACGCGCGCGGGCGTACGAGCGCCGGTGAGTGCAGTGGGTGCAGCTGCGTGCGTCTGTACGCGGCATCTAAAGAGGCGAGCCCAGCGAATCGACGGCGACCTGCGCTTGCTCAGTCGCGAGCTCCTGTGTGCGCGACACGGCCAGGAGTCAGCCTCTAGGATTTGTCGCCCTGCCCATGGCAGCCGAGCGATGGACCCCCCCCCCCCCCCCACACACACACACACCCACCCACACCCACCCACACACACACACACAGAAGCAAGGCCTCCTCGAGCTGGTTAGAGGAGGGTCGGAGGGAGGGAGAGAGGGAGGCTGAGCCGACGTCCGTGTTTTGTGCTTGCCTGCGCGCGCGCCACAGCGCCTGGCCTCTCAACCATCTCGATCTCGTGCGATCTCGTGCGATCTCGTGCGATCTCGCGCGAGTGTGCCTGCGTGCGCGCCACGGCGCCTGACCTCTCAACCATCTCGAGCGCCTAATTAATTCACGACGCCCGAGTGATTAGGAGCCGACTACTCCCCTAGGCGACCCCTCTCCGCGATCGCGAGCGCCAGCGCCGCGTCGGACTCATCGCGGAGGCCGCGGGAAAGCACCTGGAGCCAAACACACAACGCAAGGAGTGAGTGAGTCCTTTGCCGCCCCCTCCGACCGACCGACTTGCGCGGCTTAGGTCCGGGTACTGGGGGGTAGGGGAGGGTTCGGGTACTGGGTGGTAGGGTAGCTTAGGTCCGGGTACTGGGGGAGGGGGGAGAGGGTTCGGGTACTGGGTGGTAGGGTAGCTTAGGTCCGGGTACTGGGGGAGGGGGGAGAGGGTTCGGGTCACTCTGCGCGCCTATCAACCTTGCAA